CCCGTGGAGGAGGGCTTCTCCTTCCCATGGATTCTCCCACAAATCCCAGGTCTGAGGCTCATTGGCCCAGCCCAAGTCACACGTCCCCTCTGAGTATATCACCGAGTGGCCCAGCCCGGGTAGCGAGGCCACACCTGAGGTCTGGAGGGTGTGGCTCAGCCCCAGATGCCCAGAGTGAAGTAGGAGGTACTTCTTCGAAGGAAAATGGGGTGCTGCTATCCACAGGCAAGGGAGCGGAAGCAGGGCAGGCAGGGTGCACGTGTCCCCCACTCCGCCTGGCTGTGTGGTGAGGTGGCCACAAAGTGGAGCACAGGATCCCAGTGCCGTGTCCGGTGCACTTTGAGCGCCCCCTGGAGGTCAGCTGCTTGCCATTCACAGGAAAGGTAGAGCAGAGGACAGGCGCTCCTGGGTGAATGGACTTTGGCTGCAGGGGTGGGGAATGAGGCTAGACGGGACGTATTCTCCTGGGTAAACGGAGGCGGGGCCCTATGGGAGACAGCTCGACTTCCAGGGTAGTGAGTTCAAGATCTCTTGTAGAGGTGTGATCACATACACGTGCACACTCACACGTCTGTGCAGTGGGTGGAAGGCAGTCCTTGCCGCCTCCCTAACTTGCCATGGTTTTTTCTGGAAGGCAGAGATCACTGAGCAGCCTCATGGTCCCTTCATGCTTTGTGATTAATGAGCGGTGGCCCCCATCAGACTGTCCAGGCAAGACAAAATGGCCTTGGCCCTGGGTTCACCCAAGGCTGAATTATTTATCACCTACACCCCCCTGGCTGTTTAAGTGATGGACAGCAAGTGACCTTGCTTGTCTCTGTAGGACCTGAGATGCCAGAGGAAATCTCAGAGTCCAAGGCCCCACCTCGTTCTCAAACGGGGTAGGGGAGGAGAGGTGGGGTGCTGGGAGGGGAGACCACTTCTGAGCACCTACTCTGTGCCCAGCAGGCGGAGATGGCTTATGTTACCCCATTTAACCAGGATGGAGGTTTTGAGACCCAGAGTGGGAAGTGACTTGTCCAGAGTCACAGAAAGCGGGGAGCTGGGTTGTAAACCCAACTCTGCCTGGTCCAGTCCAGGGTTCTGCCAGCCCACCTCCCAGGCTGCCTTGGACATAGAGGATTCTTCCACAAATACCATTGAACTCCTGCTGTGCGCTGGGACTGGGGAGTGCTTAGTTGGCCTTTTCGGTGAAATGGGTGATAATGGTACCTGCTTGAAGGGAGAATTGAATGAGGGAACAATGGCACTTCCTTGGTGCTGAATTCACAGCAGCTAAAGAAAAAAAAACCCAGAAAATCTGTTTCACCATCATTGATGCTTTGGTCCATTTGTTTTCTGCCTTTTTCTGTACATTTCTTTTCTGTGATTAAGATCATGGAGTTTTTTGTTGTTGTTATTTAGGTTTGTTTTTGGGTTTTTTTGTGTTTTTTTTGTTTTTTTTTGAGAGAGAGAGAGAGAGTGCATGCAAGCAGGGAAGGGGCAGAGATGGAGAGAGGGAGAGAGAAAACCCCAAGCAGTCTCTGCCCTGTCAGCGCAGAGCCCGATTCGGGGCTCGATCTCACAAACCATGAGATCATGACCTGAGCTGAAATCAAGAGTCGGATGCTTAACCAGCTGAGCCACCAGGTGCCCCAAGATCATGCAGTTTTTAAAATCCAAGTTTTAATTTTACTTACTATCATGTCACAAGCATTTCTCCATGTCATTGCAGATCAGTATAAAAATCACCCCACTTTTCTTTGGCTTAAAAGTACTGCATCCATTAAAAAAATTCAAACAGTGTAAAAGCGCATATGTAGTGAGAATCAGTACCTGCCACTCCCCCCCGCCTCTCCCGCTTCGGTTCCAGAGGCTCCTTGTAGAGATGGTCCGTGCTTCTTCATGGGATCCCTCTTCAAACCTACAAATGGGAGCACAGTGAATCCCTGTTCTGCGTCTCCCTGTGCTTCAGGGCATCTTGGCTACTGTCCCTTCAGTGCACACAGAGCCAGCTGCCTTTTAACGACTTCCTGTATCATCGTTCTATGGAGGGATCATCGTCTATCTCATTGATCTATTGATAGACCGGCTTTGCTTCCAATCTTTTGTTGTTACATCAGCACTGTGATCAATATCCTTGTGCAAATGTCCTTTTGTCCGTGTGCAATTATGTCTGTAATAGAATTACTGGGGAAATACGGCGTTTAATGACTATCATCAAGATGGAATGGTAGACAAAAATCGTCCCCCATATCAAGGTTAGTTGGTATTCCACCCATGCGAGCTTATTTTGGGGTACCCCACACATATTTTAGCTTCAGGAAATACCTGAATATTAAAGTGTTCAGCTAAGGCTGAAGTCTTGGAACAAGAGATTTAAAAATATTTTTTGTAGTTTTTTATTTATTCAGGTAATGTCTATACCCAACATGGGGCTCACACAACCCCGAAATCAAGAGTCACATGCTCCTCCAACCGAGCCAGCCGGGTGCCCCTAGAGCAAGAGATTTTATCCATTTTCCTAATTACTGAACTATTGAGAACTTTTACGTAATTTTTGTTCAAGAAATTACTAGCTTTCATGGTCATCGTTGATTATCGCTTCTTCGCAACATACACACACAATGTGCAAATATTTGAAAGTAGATACCCAGGCATCACATCAGTTGCTATTGTTGTGTGACCACAAACCACAAAAATGTGGTGGCACACACTGATGAGTATTTATTTAACTCCCACATCTGTGGGTCTGCTGGGAGTCAGCTGCTCTGAACGAGGCGTAGCTGGACGGCCGGCTCTGTCCCACGTGTGTCTCATCCTCCTCGTGGGACCAGCAAGCCATCGGGCAAGTGGAAACAGACAAGGTCTCTTAAGGCCCGTGCTCAGAGCTGCTGCTCGGTCAGTTCTGGTCGATTCTGTTGGTCGAAACAAGTCACACAGCGGAGCCCAGATTCAGGGGGCTGGGGAAATACACTGTGCCTCTGAAATGGGAGGCAGAACAAAGTCCGTGACAAGGGGCACGGATACAGGGAAGGGTGGAGAACCGGGGCTAAGGATTCGGTCGTCCTAGATGTTAACAATAATCTTAACTGATACACCTTGTTCCTACTACTGACACTTCTTTGCTGATTAGCTATGAAGATCACCTGTGTGAGCTCAGCTCAGGGATTTTGCTCAAGGTCAGGGATGCCAAGAATAGCGCTGAGAGTAGGCATCGGGCTACACCAAAGCCCCAGAGCATATTTGGGCCATGTCCTGAGCTGAAGATAAACATGAGTCATGCCTAGATGTTTGGCAGGCATGGGAACCCAGGCCTACTGACCCCTGTGCCTTGGCCAGGGCTGTGGCTGTGGCACGGACCAGTCAGCTCTCACCCCAGGTTTGCCCTGTTGATGGTATAACAGGGGCTCCTTCTCATTGCAGGGCAACATGGGTCCTGCTGCCTTCTGGCTTCTGCTCTTCCTCCTCAAGAATCCTGAGGCCCTGGCTGCTGTCCGTGGAGAGCTTGAGCAGCTCCTCTCCAGAACAGAACAGACTGTTTCGCAAATGACCACCCTCCCCCAGAAGCTTTTGGACAGCATGCCTGTGCTTGGTGAGACAGACCCTCCAGATTAGCCCCAAAGACTGGGTCATCGTGGGCCCCCTAAGCCCTTCCCAACATGGACTCCCATCATCCAGAGTCCATCAGTGTCCTCTGACCTAGGGTCTCCCAGGACCTCCTATCTTCTTAGACCTGGTATCTCTGTGCCCCTCACTCAGCTGCCCAGGACTCATGGTCTCTGTAGATTTTTGGTTGCAAATGGCAAAAAACCTAACTTAAACTGGCTGAAGCAGACAAAGGACTTTCTTTGAGGGCATTAACTCAGAAGTCCAGAGGACAGCTAACTTCAGGCACAGGTGGACCCAGGTGCTTTAACAACATCATTAGGACTCAGTCTGTCCCTCTCTGGGCCCTGCCCTGCTGGGTTGGCTCCAGTCTCAGGTCAGCAGGATGGCCACCAGTCCGGGCTGACGTACTGTCAGTCCTACGAGGGGGTGCTTCTCTGAGATGTTCCTACCCAAAGTCCCAGGATTGTGTCTCATTGGCTGTCTTTGAGTCACATGCCCATCTTGAACCAATGACAGGTTCAGAGGGTTGAAATGCTCTGATTGGTCAATCACACACAGCCCATGGAACTGGGAGTGAAGTCAACAGCCCAACCTCTGACAGCGGGAGAGGAGTGGTCTCCAGAAGAAGATCAGGGAACTGTTTCCAGATGGGGAGTGTAAGCTGGTCAAACAGAAACAACCGACATTGATGGCCCTGCTCTCCCCAGTCTCCCCTGATATCTCCCTGGCTCCCACAGTCCTTCACAGCTTCTAGAGTCAGACCCAAACCCTCACATCCAATATCTGAGGACCATAGTAATCATATCTCGTCAGTTGGCCTTTTTTGGCTCCTCTGTGTGATGGGGGGCAAGTTATGCACCCTCTCTGAGCCTGCCCGCCTTCCTCTGTAAAAATGAGGGCTGGGGGTGGCATTTGCGTGTGTGAGAGGACAGCTGCTGACCCTTCCTGTGCCTGCCCATGCAGACAGCGTGCTCAGTGAGAGCCTCAGGCTCACTGCTGCGCCCTTCATTACCCGGGAGGTCATGGTGGACCTGGCCATGCCCATGGCAGATGGGCGGGAATTCAGCCTGCGACGTGGAGACCGCCTCCTCCTCTTTCCCTTCCTGAGTCCCCAGAAAGACCCGGAAATCTACACAGACCCAGAGGTAAGTTGCATACCAGGGACTGTGGGAAAAAAAAAATCAGTGGCTTCGGGACTAGCCAGATCTCAGTGGCAGCCCAGCTCTGCTCTTTGTTTGCTGTGTGACCATGCCCAGATTACTTCACCTCTCTGTGTCTCTCACCTGTGCCATGGACCTCATGATAGCACCTGCCTCATTGGGTTGTCAGGAAAATTAAAGGAGAGCGTGTAACAAAGGGTTTCACAGTGCCTGGCGTGCGTGGAATGCTTTGTAAGTGATAGCTGAGCAATTTTCCTTTTTTCAGAATGTTATGTCAGCGTCTCAACACTTTTCTCTCTCCTCGGACTTTGAGATAGATGGGTCAAACTTTTATAATTTCTAACAGATTTGGGTGCTTACCATGAGCCAGGCCCTGTGCTGTACATCCATCCACATACCCTTCCTTCCGTCCATCCATCCACCTACCCCTCAGTCTCCATCTCTGCAGCCCCTGGTCCTTTTACTTGTCCTTCCGCCCGTCTTTCATTCAGCTCCTCCTCTGTGCCAAGCCCTGTTCTCAGACACTGTCTTCACCTTACCCTACAATGTAACCAAAGGAAATTGACATCCTCTTTTTATTTTTATTTATTTATTTTTTTTTTTGTTTTTATTTTATTTTATTTTATTTTGGGGACAGAGAGAGACAGAGCATGAACGGGCGAGGGGCAGAGAGAGAGGGAGACACAGAATCGGAAACAGGCTCCAGGCTCTGAGCCATCAGCCCAGAGCCCGACGCGGGGCTCGAACTCACGGACCGCGAGATCGTGACCTGGCTGAAGTCGGACGCTTAACCGACTGCGCCACCCAGGCGCCCCAACATCCTCTTTTTAAAAAATGATTTTGTTTAAGTAATCTCTATGCCCAGTGAGGGGCTCGAACTCATGACCCTGAGATCAAGAGTGGCATGCTCTACCGTCTGAGCCAGCCAGGCACCTCTAAAAATAATTTTAAAATTTACCCTGCCAAAGTAATATATATTTGTAAAGTAGAAATATGCAGACACATATGTTTAAAAGTAAAAACTTTTCTTCACTGCCTTTACTCTCCACTTATACGGAGTTCCCTAACAATGGTTTGGAGTGTATCCTTTAAATTATTTTTATGCCTTTACAGACACACATACCACGCTGACACACGTATGAATAAAGAGGTGTGTGAACAGGATAACACAATACATCCTATTTTGAAACTTGCCTTTTTAACTCAACCAGTCTAAAGAACCCTTTCTGGGGCGCCTGGGTGGCTCAGTCGGTTAAGTGTCTGACTT